TGTCAGACTTTGTTCCTTGTTTTGTGTTTGTTTTGCTCCCCATGTGCCTTCCTTGCCCTTATTTGGTTTTCTTCCTGTTCCTGCTCCCTGATTGTTTTTCATTTGATTCCAGGTGTGTCTCGTCTTACCCTGATTAAGTTGTGTATTTAAAGTGTTTCCTGTTTTGAGTTCCTTGTCCGGTATTGTTCATACGAGTGCTACGTGTGTTTTCCTTGTTCCCCTGAGTTCATTAAAATCTCTCCAATGATGTACTCCTTGTCTACTTTGTTACTCGCTCCGCACTCCTCACAGTAGCGCAACCGTGACAGAATACCGGACCAGAGACAGTAAGCGGCACCCCTTCTCCCAGTGTTTGTTTTTTGGTTTTGAAAGTGTTTTGTTTTCCTGTTTTTCCCCGCGGCATGGAAACCGCTGCACGTTTCACCGCGCCGTTGTCAAGCCCGCCGGCTGCTCCGAAGACAAGTCCGTCAGCCCCGGCTCCCTCCAACGGAGGGCTCATGTTCCTATGTCTGGCCCACGGAGGGCCTCTCCTGAGTTCTCTACTCCGCCATGGCCTCCTGAACTGTCTGCTCCGCCATGGCTCCCCGAGTCCCCTGATCCGCCATGGCCTCCTGAGTTCCCTACTCCGCCATGGCCGCCTGAACTGTCTGCTCTGCCATGGCCTCCTAGTCTGCCTGCTCCGCCATGGTGCCCTGAACTGCCAGATCCGCCATGGGTCCCGGAACGGGCGCCGCACTGGAGGCCTTCCGTCCTGGAACCCTGCTCCTAGAGGCCTCCAGAGCGCCCACTCCCCTCTCCGTTGGATGTTGTTGCTCCTAGAGGCCTCCAGAGCGCCCCCCCCCCCATTGGATGTTGTACGGCGCGGGACGCGCCTTCCGGGAGGGGGGAGTTATGTCAGACTTTGTTCCTTGTTTTGTGTGTGTTTTGCTCCCCATGTGCCTTCCTTGCCCTTATTTGGTTTTCATCCTGTTCCTGCTCCCTGATTGTTTCTCATTTGATTCCAGGTGTGTCTCGTCTTCCCCTGATTAAATTGTGTATTTAAAATGTTTCCTGTTTTGAGTTCCTTGTCCGGTATTGTTCGTACGAGTGCTACGTGTGTTTTCCTTGTTCCCCTGAGTTCATAAAAATCTCTCCATTCATGTACTCCTCGTCTCCTTTGTTCCTCGCTCTGCACTCCTCACAGTAGTGCAACCGTGACAAATATAGCTATTTTTTATTTTATCTTTGTTGTTATAAATAAGAACCGATGCAAAAAAGAACAAATATACGAAACAAGTTTATAGTGTATTACTTTTTTCTTTTTTCATCTAAACGTAAGCATTCAAGTAAGAAAAACAAATAGTAAAATGTAAAAATCACTTAAGTTTGTTCATTACAAATAAATTGATTATTAAAACTACAAAACCAGTTGTAATCAAGTGCAGTGAGTGATTCTCTCTTTTCGTTTATTGTTTGATTAACACTAATGCAACAGATGGCCTATATTAATTAGTGTAATGAATGGATCTAATATAATGTTACACATCCAATGTTTTTCCCCAACAGTTCCCCAAATGTTAACATAAGAAATAACTGATTATATATGTGTGAATTGCCTACATAAATACTGTATTTCTGTGTATTTCTGTATATTTATCGGGATCGCGCGCTGGCAGAAGCATCTTTATGCGGGCGCTTCGGATGACAGTCATTGCGAGCGGAGAAAAGGTACTCCTCTCATAAAACATACAAATAAAGATACTTTTAGATGTTTAATTTTTATTTGGAGCATTGAGATCGCTAGACAAGGGCTTAATATACTCATTTTTGTGAAAAACTCAAATTCGAACAAAATCGACATTTTGCACTTTTTTTGCCTGTAGCTCAAAATGAGCCTGTGCACATTCCGACTCATTTTGACAGCACGGGTCACATATGATGCACAGTTCCTCTCAAAAATCTGTGAATGACAGGTGTCATTGGCTGGGCACAAATGAGCAGCATCAATCCAGCAATGATGAGGGCAAATGAATTTCCCAAGGTGAGACCACCAACATTTATTTCAGCCTCCACACAGCACGGTTCATCCAGTAATTTTGACTGAGGGCCCTGTTGTTGGTCATTTGCACCTGGCATTGCAAGTCGATCATTCAAAACTGAGGACGCCAACAGTTCATTAGAGCCTTGCGGCTTGATATACACCGTTTATGATGATAAACTGCAGAAGCAATCTCAGTTCACCATCTTTCCCATCTCTTCAGAGAGTGTCATTATAATAATGGTATCATCAGGGTCCCCAATTTCACAGCACTGAACCACAGCGGCAGCTGGAATGAATTGTGCATCCTAAAGACTCTGTGCACAGTCTCGGTGGCATTAATTGGCAATGACTGCATCCTTTTCATTACAGGAATTTAATGCAAAAAGTGATTACACTCACAACACCCTTATCCAGTGAACAGTAATCAGTACAGAATTAGTTTTATTATGATGATGGCTCTGTAGCTATAACTATTCTAGGAATACAATTATCCGTCTCTGTCATGTAGATGTAAGGAGGATGTTGGCAGTGTTTATACCATTTCTCCTCTTAACCATTCAGCTCTTAAAAGCATGAAAACAAATGCAAGGGGCCTTATTACGAAACTCTCCTGATGGTCCTTCACGTGACACGTGTGAACTTGTGGGGGTGGGATTACGAGTGTAGGCAGATATTTCATTCCGGCGCTGCTGCAATGTTGCTTCTGTGTGTGCTAGTGAACTCCCTACGAGCAGGTCGGTGGTCTCTACCAATGTTTGAACTAGAAAAGTTTGGCAAAGTTTGGCTGAATTTTTTAAAATGCTCAAAAAACCTAGCACTTCAAATGTTGTTCAGGGCTTATGTGCTTTGAATACCTCAAGATCTATACAAGGATAGTTCAGCCAAAAATAAAATACTGTCATCATTTACTTACACTCATGTCCTTCCACAAAACAGCATGACGTCTTTCTACCGTGGAACACAAAAGAGATATTTTGGGTACAAACAATATTTCCAAACAACAAAATAAATACATTTTCGTACTCTACAGAAGAACTGAGGTCATATACAGTAGGTTTGAAACAAGTAAATGGTGACAGAATTTTCATCTTCAGGTGAACTATTCCTTTAATACTTGGTTTAGATGGATGGACCGATTGGTAGATACTGTATGTGAATGGATGGATAGATAGACAGACAGACGAAAAGACGAATATACAGATGAACAGACAAATGACAGATACAAAGACGATTGAATAGATGGATGGACAGATATACAGTACAGATGGATGGACGGATGATTGGATGGATGGACGGATGATTGAATGGATGGACGGATAGACGGAAGGATGGATGGATGGTTGGACGGATGGATGGATGGATGGATGAAAGAACAGAAAGATGGATGGATGAAAGAACAGATAGATGGATGGATGGAT